GGATGTGTGGAAGGGGGCTGTAGTCAAAGTGTTACTATGGGTTTTGGAGAGAAATGCCCAAAAGCTGCTTCTTCATGACAGGGGCACACCAGGACTTTCCGTGTATGCCACGTTTTATCCAAAGACTGAGGAACTCTTAAGAACACAGGTAGCCCTCCCATTTTTAAGGGAACCTATGAAAGCTGTAAGTGAATGGCTAATCTGGGCCAGACCAAAGGTCCTTTTACCTGTGCTCTCAGTCTTCTACATGCCCATGAACAGGTGTTTAAGTACAGATCAAATACAGAATATATATAGAATATATATACACATACACCTACGTGTCTGTCATCTAGTGGTTATGTAGCGATGCTGTATAGCTGTATACCTCTCCCAGTGTTCAGCAGCTTGTGGTTCAGCAATGTGAAACACACAGGAGACAGATAAACAGCTGGTGTTTACCCACACCACCTTCCTCAAAGAGTGAACACTGGCCAATACATTCCCTTTCCTTCCCTTGTCCCACCTTCTCGCTTTACACACTGATGGAAAATAAACGAAGGGTGCTGTGGTGGTAAGCCACAGATCTCTCATCTTATCTGTTCAGAGGCAGGGAGACTTTCTGAAGATACAGGGTGTATTTAGGATGGGGGATGCCCATACATGTCTCCTGGAGAAGTAGTTGGAGAACAAGATTTTCCACCATCTCTGCTGCACTGGTGAAGTGTTATCTTAAAGGAAGAATATGGTAGAATATATACAGACTGTGGTGTAGTGGTGGCTTTCAGCACTGCCCAAAGACACAAAGAAAACTGTCTTGTCTTCCCATGACATGCTGCTAAAACACCTTTCCACAAAGCTTCTTACTAATCCTTGCTAAACAATTGTCTTCTACAGGCCATGCGGGGGACATGGTTGTTTGCATCAAGATTAATGCTATCTGCAAGGTATTTTGGGAAACACACTTCAATAGCTAGCTGCAACCTACCTGCTTTCCTGGCTAAAGAGAGGACATCAATCTTCAGTGCTGTCAATCCCGCGTCCTTTAGCAGTGCTAATTTTCCCTTAGGAAACAGCCCAAGAGCAATTGCTCACCGGGCAGTTATGAGCTGTAATTCTCCTGGCTCTGATGGCTTTAGCATACTTTGCTAATTTCAGAAAGCAGTTTCCATGCTGCTCTGTGTGAAATAATCCTACTCATATGGTTCAGGAAAAGGTAGCGAAAGATGCAAACTTGCCCTGGGGCCCTATGTTTGCTGCTTTGGTCAATCTTATAATTATCCCACAGTGGCTAAAATGAGAAAACTACACACTTAAACAAACATACATGGACATATATATGTGTGTGTGTGCGCATGGACATGGGTTTTATTAAGGGTGTGTATCTGTACATATGCCTATCTATAAATATAGGCCTATTACTAGGCATAGTAATGCAGATATATATATATCTCGTAACAGACAGACATTTTTCCTAACGCTTTCTAATGCATAGTTTCTTACAAGTTCCTCTGGTTGCATCTGTTCAGATGCTGTCCTACTTGGGAGTCAGCCCACGATCTCCTTTCATAACGTTGGTTAAATGCAGCTGTTACTGGTGATGCAAAGATGCTGTTCCCCAGGGGAAGACATAATAATAGAAAACAATCTCCCTCTAAAGATGACTAGTCTATCTTGCCAAATTCCCCAATTCTGACATCTCTTAACATATTTACTTCAAAAAGAAAAATAATCAAAGGAAGGTTTATTAATACCAGTGCTTGAGAGCCACTCTTGGGTGTGAAAGACAAGAGGCCTTCCTTGCTCTCTGGAAGTCATCACCCAAATGAGAAATAAAAGATGGTTATTCCTTTTCTTTTTGTTTTATTTGCAGAGTGCTTTTCATTTCAGGAGCCCCAAGAGACCCACAGCGTGTATGCATTGCTTCACTTGTTACTAAAATGAAGCCACCTGTATGGCAAAACAAGGCAACTACATGACCACATGCAGCTATGTCACTATGAGATGAGTGCACGGCTGGACTGAGGAAAGCAACGTCTTGCAAATACAAGGTTAATAATGATTATCATAGTGAGTAATATATGCTGTTGGAAAGCATTTGTTAATAAGATACAATTCCAAAACTGAGGAAGCACAAGAAGGATGTGGACCTGTTGAAGCAAGTCCAGAGGAAGCCACAAAGATGCTCTGAGGGCCGGAGCATCTTTCCTATGCTGAGAGACAGGCTGAGAGAGCTGGGCTTGTTCAGCCTGGAGAAGAGAGCCTCCAGGCACATCTTAGTGCAGCTTCCAGTGCCTAAAGGGGCCTACAAGAAAGCTGGAAGAGGGGCTTTTGACAGGGACAGGTAGGGATAGAACAAGGAGTGATGGGACAAGGGGTTTAACCTGACAGAGCGGAGACTGAGATGAGATCTGAGGAAGAAGTTCTTCCCTGTGAGGGTGGTGAGGCCCTGGCACAGGTTGCCCAGAGAAGCTGTGGCTGCCCCATCCCTGGCAGTGTTCAAGGCCAGGTTGGACAGAGCTTGGAGCAACCTGGTCTGGTGGAAGGTGTCCCTGTCCATGGAAGGGTGGTTTAGAACTGGATGAGCTTTAAGGTCCCTTCCAACCCAAACCATTCTACAATTGTATGAGAAGCAGTAATTTTCCAAGAGCAGATGCTGAGTGTAAAAATGCAGTTTTCTGCATCATGACTCCCCACCAAATATCTGTCCATTAGGAAGCACAGTCCATGTTCCTTATCTGTGCAGTGACCACTCAGGAGACACAGACAGAGACAGGTACATGAAACCCAGGGCAACAGACTGCTTTCAGCCTTTTTAGCAGCCTGTGGGTGGTGGTCTGTATTTCCTCCCTGTGCTAGTAAAAAATGGACAACTCTCTTCTTCCCTGTGCCCTTCTCCTACAGTTTTACCTTGACCAAGTCCTAGCTGCCAGCGTGGAACATTTAAAAGAATGGACCTCTTTTCCCTAAGGGAAGTCTAGGAGAGTTGCTTGGAAGAAGTCTGCAGCAGAAAACTCCCACTTCAGGATATGGCTGAGAGGGGTTGAACAGGGGAGACAATGACTTCAGAGAGTTTAAGAAGTTGTGCAACTTAAAATCATAAAATCATAAGATAGTTTGGATTGGAAGGGACCTTCAAAGGTCATCAAGTCCCACACCTCTACAATGAGCAGGGACATCTTCAACTAGATCAGGTTGCTCAGAATCACATCCAGTCTGGCCTTGAATGTCTTCAGGGACTGTGCATCTACCACCTCTCTGGGCAACCTGTGCCAGTATTTTACCACCCTCAATGTAGAAAATTTCTTCCTCACATCCAGCCTGAATTTTCCCTCTTCTAGTTTAAAAGCATTACCCCTCATCCTATTGCAACAGGTCCTCAGAGCCTTCTCTTCTCCAGGCTGAACAATTCCCACCCTCTCTGCCTTTCCTCACAGGAGACGTGTCCAGCCTTCTGATCATTTTTGTGGCCCTCCTTTAGACCCTCTCCAATAGGTCCATATCTAATGCTGTTAGTGTGAGCAAGATTTTAATGACTCCAACTCCTACTCCAGAAACTTCCCAGAAATCTCTTGGGGCTAAAATAGTTGTTTTCACTATATGGACTGGGAAAATTTAAGTCCCAGCAAACTTGATCTAAATGTCAATGTTGTCTGCCACTGAGACAACATGCTTTGCTGTTAAGTACCTGGTGTACACAACCTTGTCTGTTCCTTGACTGTGTGATATAAAGCATGCAGATGTTCAAATAACATCTTTCCTCACTAAACAATTTCATTCATGTGTTGCTTCACTGCTGAGAAAAAAACAAAAAGGCAAAAAAATTTCTGTGCTGTGGTTGGATTTAAAATTAAGAACATTCTCCCAAAGGGACTGTGTATCAACCTTAAGCCTGCTCCCCACTGTGAAGCTTGTGGTTGGATCTTTATCTTCTGCTGTCTGAAAATAACCCGTGCTGCAAATGATCACTCCCTAATGCCATATCCAAGGAGGACATCTTTCAAATACCATTGAGAAAACAAAGGTTTCTGCTAAATTCTTTTCAAATTACAGAAATAGAGCGGCAACCTCATGTGGGTAGAAATGTCTTTCTCTGAGAAATGAGGTCACATCCTCTTAGGTGACTCCACTGACAGCTTTGCTGTCACGTTAGCATGGAATTGCTTCTGTGATGCACCCAGCTTGGGAGGCATTCAGTAGTACCACAGAGTCCCAGCTGGGCTCAGACACAGACAGAGAGGTAGGAAATTCCTGCCAGCTATTATTTTGCCAATGACCTGAATTTATGTAAAAATAAGGCACATAGCTCTGATGTACTGATAGGCAACACCTCCTTGCCCCCCCTCCCCCTCCTTTTCTTTTTCCTCCATGTGCTAGGAATCCTTTCTCTAACTTTGGCCTGGTGTCCCTGTTTCAAAATTGTGATGACACCAGAATTAGTTCAAGATCCGTTCTTATATGTTAATTTGCTTTAGCAAAGGATTTTTTTGCTACCCATCTCCAATGAACAGATTATGTAAAAATCTCTGATACTTCATCTATACCTCTCAACCAAGAGGTTCACTATTAATCACCTACAGAAACAGGATTGCTACCGGTTTGACTGACACTTTTTCTTGGCTGTGTTTGTACACCTCCTAGCACAGACAAGCGCATATACATTGGAATTATTGGTAACAACCTGGTAGCAAAATTATTGCCTGGTGGGGAAGAGGAAGTTGCAATGCATGGAACAAGCTCCAACCACTTCTTAGTGTCCCTGAGCTCGTTTCAAGTTTCCCCAAGATCTCTTTAAAATGGGATCATGGCAGGTGGAAGAACCCTTTTTGGCTTTGAGGACAATTTCAAATTCAAATAATTCCGCATCAAAACAAAGATGTGGCTTTGGCAAGCTCAGACATAGTTTCCAAGAGGAGGCAGCAAATTATAGCTCATCAAGGGTTTTAAATGAGAAATGCTCCTAGTGTTAGCCATGGATGAGGCCAACACTTCATGCTCCACACACAAATGCAGTTGCCTACCCTTTCCCTCGTCTCATTGGTGAGAAACTTGGCACATTCACTGTAGTTTGCCCAGGTGCGGTTGTTGCCTGGGACCAGCTCCCAGCTCCCGTTCAGGTCACACCGGCGATAAGCATGGCCTTTGGGAGAGATGAGAAAGAGAGTAAACAGGACTAGACCTGGCAGAGCAGGAAAAGCTTCTTCCAGTGGTGGTTCCTATCAACCTTGATGCCTCCTGCCTGCTTTGAAGCTCAGCTGCAAGAACATAGTTTCCATCTCCTTGGCAACTTTATCAATTTTCTAGCTGAGAAACACCAGAGAGCTAATAAAAAGTTGCACTCAGTTTAGGTTAAGATATCGGGTCTACAAACCAAGGAGAGATGCTTTAAAAAGTCCCAAAGCACAAAATCATCCTCAGAGTTGCAGCTCTCCCTATGAAAATAAGCAGTAACCTATATTATGCTGCTCTTTTTTTTTACAGATTCAGTACACCTTAAGATAGATTTAATATGGTTACCCTCCACATGATGATGATGAAAGAAGAGAAGGCGAAGTTTCATTTTAGGTTTCAGCTGACAGATGAAAGCATCCATGTGCAGAGTTTTAGGCTGGTGGGTATCATTTCATGAACTGTGTGTAAGAAGTTACACATCACAGTTGACAGGCATGAAACCAGTCAACAGATCTGTCCTGTGACTACAGAGAGAGAGCGCATAGAGACCTCTGCACCTTAATCAGTCAGTCTTACTCTGACTTGCACACTAGCTGATTTGACCAGTGGATATCGGTGCAGTGTGGAACCTATGCCATGTTGGATTGTGAAGAGAAAAAGGATGGATTGCCTGTTTCTCCTGGCCTCTAGTGTGAAGTGCATGTTCAGTCCCTCTGTGAGAGGTCATCAGCCAGGGGTTAAGCTGGCTCAGCTCACGGACCCTTCTAGAAAAGTCAGGACAGACTATGAACAACTGCGGTGCACTGGAATATCATTACTTGTTTTCTGAAAAGAGCATCAGTACTCTGCGGAGCATATAGTCTTAATTCCCTAATTTTTCAGCCTTTGGGTGCACAGCTTTCCCTGAGAAAAGAGAATGCTTTAGCTTTGAAAATACACTGAGGAGCGAGTGTACTTCAATTGCTTCTGAAAACATGCACAGACTTTGCGGCACCACAAGCAAGCCAAGAAATGTGCTGCCTGAGGGAAAGTGAGATGGGGAGGAATTCACATGTTCTGGTTACTGGCGCTGTTCTCAGAAACCCACCATAGGGGTCTGGGCAGAGATCAGGGGCTAGAATTAACAAACGCGTGAGGAATATAAATTGGAAGAATATCTTGCAGGTTTCTATTGGTATGCAGTTTGCAGTGTCAAACAAATACAGATTTGTAATGCTGCAAGACTACCAAGTTGTAAGCTTGCAATTGGTGCTTATAACCCTAATTAGACACCCCAATCAGTGCCTAACCCCATTACAGTCTGGGTTGGGCAGGTGGGAAACTTGTCACTGTCTAGGTTAAAACAGCTTTTCTTTCAGCATAAAACCATAATGGCTGTTTCTTTACTTCCCTTTCTCTGGCTTACTCCTGACTGGGTGGGAGTGACCATGTCATAAAACAGGGATGCTAAAGAGGATTTTAATTTTCTGATTCCCAGGCCTCCTTTTGTTGCAGCTTATCAGGCTTTGCTGACACTAAGGTCAACACATACCTTTGTGATTGAAGTCATAGATGTACTCAGGACATGGCATAGCCACCACTTTGCCTGGCACACCTTCAGGCCAGCAGACGATACCATCCCACTCAGGAAGACAGAAGCCATCTGTGGAAGAGACACAAAGATACAGAGGAGTCACTGGACCTCCAGAGTCCTGCTGTTTGGAGAGGGCTGTCCTTGAAAAAGCCATCAATACTGTCACTCAGTTCAAGAAAACCGCTCTTAGTCATCAGTACAATTTTCTTCTTAGTGTTTAGCTCCAGAAGGTACAACTTCTCACAAGGTTTATTTCAGAAGGACAGGTTCCCCAACATTGGACACTTAAGATTTGGTTGGACAGGGTGCTGGGCCATCCAGTCTAGATCATGCTTTGCCAAAAGGTTGGATAAGATGATCCTTGAAGTCCCTTCCAACCTGGGATTCCAGAATTTTATGGGATAATACCTGATGAGAGTGGTCAAAGATTTTGGAAAGCTGCTTTCCCTTGTGGGCTGGAAGAAATGAAAATGAGGCAGGACAGCAGAGTGGAGAACAAGAGGACCTAAACAGTCAGGACTCTGTAGACTGATGGGAAACATGGAAAAACCCAGGCAAGTTTGGTTATGTATAGCCTTGATATGGCAGCACATATCTGAGCCTACACTAGCAAGGAGATGGATTATGCTGTGGCTACATTACTGTGAGCCTCAAAGGTACCAGTTCAGGGAAGGTACTCATGCACATGGAGTGGGAGGGCTGTGATTTAATATCTACATGCCATTAATCCAAATTCAGCTGTATTTTTAACTCATTATTTACATCAGCTTGTGCTATGCTATACCACAGTGCTCTGCTGCTTTCTCAGATGTGCTTGTGTGCCTGAATTTTGTTGTTCTTTTAATTAACACTAAGACTAGCAAGAATCTATAGAGAGGTGTCTGTAGCACTGTTTCTAACCATAAATAGAGAATATTTCATTACCTTGCCTCATAAGGTGTGAAACAATGGAATTTCTGTTTCATAAAGATTTGCATCCTTTCCCATCTGACAGCCTTTTTGCTTAGGACTTTGCCATTGTACCTCTACCTCTATTTTCCTCATTGTGCAAGATGCAGTGCAATCATGCACTGATCGATTTGGAGCTGTGCCCATGCTAACTGGCTGGCAGTGCATGCACACTAATTGACCAGTTGCGTGCCGCCAAGAACAGGGTGACATGGCTGAGCTTTCCCAGCTTCCCCATGTCTACCCTTTTTCCCCAAACCTCTTTTTTCTTTTTTGAAAATTGGCAGGTATATAAGTACATATTGTAATTTTGCAATTATCCAGAACATAAGAAAAAATCAAGCAGGTCTTTTAATGACCCATAATTATGAGAAGCTTTGCTTCTCTCTTCACAAATGAGGTACTAGCTGATCATTCAAGGCCTCCAGGTTATGTCCTATGCGGGCTAAGAGCGTCTTCAAGGAGCTCTGCAGCCCATGCGATTTGCCATCAGCTTCTGAAGCAGCTGAGATACCAGTGATGGAGACAGACTCCCCTGGGAGATGAGTGCCCACCCTCGCATCAGTCTCATCTTCCTCATTGTCTGTTCATTCTTTCTGCAAGGGACAAAGCCAGAACATACCCACATTTAGAAGTGTTGAGAAATCCTCCAGGCATCTCAAAAAACTGTGGAACTTGACCTCATTTTCAACATTGCTTTAAAAAGAGGGAACTCAAACCCTGCTCTCCACCTCTTTTATCCTTCCAGCTTGTCAACCACCCATTTCTGCAGCTTTTTGTCCGTAAGCTTCCAGTTCCAAAAGGGTGCAAGTTCCAGTTCAGATGCAGACATTCAACATGGGCAGGCAGGACTATGCAACCAAGCCTAACCTGGTGTTTACATATGCCTTTGTGTTGGCCTGCAATAGCTGCACCTACCAATTAAAACCCAGCTGCAGTAGAGGATTTGAAGTGAAGAGCAAAAAACAGTGAATCTACCCAAGGTCTGGTTTCAGAACTGCCTCTGCCCCCTGTACCCATGGCAGCCGATGAAGGAATTTATCAACAGCCTATAAAGTGTCTGACAGAGAGGAATTATACATGAATCAAAATAAAATGAAATGGACCACTCTTATCTGCACAAGAGCTCGGCTTGAAAAGAAATGATAAACACGACCAAGATTTCAACATATTTCATTAGTATCAAAGCTAGTGCCTTAGCAATCTTTCAATCAAAGTGCAATTTATCCTTTATAATGAATGTATTTTCACAAGATTAAATAAGGATGCAGGATTGCTTTAAAGACCTTTGGCTGGTATTGTACCCTCTAGGGTCAGAGCTGACAGTGATCAATTCAGTTTGCTGGTATTTCGGGGTATGAAAAACAACAGAAAAACTCTGAAGAGCTGATTTCTTATGTTTAATTTAGTGCTGATAAAGAGGACCCAACTAATCACTGCCTATCTTCTAAAACTTTAACTGGGAGTGAGGATAGGAGAGCTAAATACCTCTGTATTGTTTCCATAAAAAAAGAGGAAGAAGCTTATTGCATTTGCTCCACTTCCAGTCACATTAGAGGAAGAATAATGCTAGATTTCCTATTCATGGAAACCAGGAAAGCCCTTCCCTTTGGCTCATTATGTTGCAGGATTACTTACACTGTGAAAACTGGTTTATTTATTTTCCAGTTCTCTGAAAGGATCAAAATAAAAAGGAAAAAAAGTAGCCCACAGAATTTGGATTAGGACAAAATGTTATTGTCTCTGAGGTTTTTTTTTGCAGACAAGAAAGTAAATGAAAATTTAATTTAGCAGTCAAAGTGGTCTTACCTAAAATAAAACCAATTCCTTTTACAAATAAATAGATTTGGGTAAACTTGAAAATGAATGCTGGGGGGAAACAACACTGAGGAGAAAATGTCATGCTCTGAAATACTGAGAGAAAAACCTTGCGCTTTTCTACGATCTTCAGAATAGCTCACAAAGGTCAGCCTTCACTTGTAAGTAGTTTCATTTAGTATCATACTGCAATATTTGTCCAGAAAATATTAATGTGGAAAAGTATCTGATGTGTACACCTTCCTTACAGCGTAAACATTCACACACACATTTGAAATGGACTCATTCAAAGGAAAACAATGCTTTCTGGATAACAGAATATACAATTGTTTCTTTTGGGGTACTTTGATCCCCACAGTCCTTGCAAAAAGCAGAGGACACCTCTGGACTGGTGTTTTATCATGTGGACAATTTGGGAAGCCATCAGCTGCCCCCAAAAATTTGGAAAAAAAAAAAAAAAATCAGGTTTGCTGCCTCTTAACTGCATCTGAAATATTTTATTGCCTCTGTGTATTGACCCATGGAATTGATTCATTTAACCTGATTAGGATTTGGTGGGAATTAATCTTCAGAAACCATCCAAGAAAGATGCAAATGAGTCTGTCATTGTTATCATGAACTGTTGCAACACAGAAAAACCTCTGTAGCCTGCTCTCCATCTCTCTGTCATCCCCTAGCTCTCTCTCCCCACTCTGTTCTTGGAAAACACATTTCAGCCAGATTTGAAGGAGGGGTAAGAGATCTCAGTCTGCCAATTTCATGGTGATAGATGATCAGTAAAGAGCAGGTGAACATTTGGCACCTGCCACCTGGCAACCAGTCTTTGCCAACCGACTAGCCAACTGGCACATGCATAACTTAAAACTAGGCACAGCATGGCTGTTTCTTGCCAATCCAGGGTGCCATAGGTAAGGCAAGGGGAGAGGAACTGGGTGGGGAAGAAGGACTGACAACTACTAGAGAACATCAACAGGGCAAGCCAGGTGCCTCTGGATCTCCTGGTTGCAGAAAGAATTGAAAAGTTTCTAGACTGATTGAAACCCTTGGAAAACATTTTTCAAAATAGAAATATTGGACCAGCCATGCTTTCTGACTGCTTGATCCACTTTCCTGGATTTTAACACAGCCAAAAGCTTTTTCTCCCCTCTGTACATGCCTGTTGTCCCATACAGTAGCCCCACTGTCCTTCTCTCACTCCTTCCTCCAATACCTCTATTTTTCCATCTAAGGAGACAAATCATCAACCATCTGACAAGACAAGGAGTAATGGCTTTAAACTAAAAGAGCATTTATTCAGACTAGGTATGAGGAAGAAATTTTTTACAGTGAGGGTGGTGAAGCACTGGAACAGGTTGCCTCGAGGGTGGTGAATGTCCCATCCCTGGAGCAACTCAAGGCCAGGCTGGACAGGGCTTTGAGCAACCTGGTCTAGTGGAAGGTGTCCCTGCCTGTGGCAATGGGGTTGGAACTAGATGAGCTTTAAGGTCCCTTCCAACCCAAACCAGTCTATCATTCTATGACTCCCAACATCCCTTGCTTACTCCCTCACCTTGTCTCCTCTGGTCCACCCAGCCATGTGGCACCTTTATCATTAATTTCACCAGTTTGAGACTACTGGGAACAAATTCTGCACCTTCTGCCTCCAAGTTTCTCCTATTTTACTCACTCTAGAGGTCACTTAATAACTGAGCTGATTATACAATGAGGAGGGAAAATACCGTATATTTCATTGGTATTGTGCTGGAATCCAAACAAGACTTTTCTTTTTGTTTGTTTTCCCAAATATTTCCAACATTTTTTTATTGGTTTATAAAAACATTAACAGTACTAACAACTTGGCTTCTCTCTGTTGTTTTTCTTTTCCCCTGGCCATTTCTCAAAAGAAATCTATGCTGAGTTACAAAAAGAAATCTGAAAAATGGTGAGGAGTTTCAGGAAAGCAATAAAAAGAATCTGAAAGCTGACATTTTTTCCTGATGGTTATGTTATAAAATAAAATTTAAAAAAATTTACAACCTTTTTTTATAAGCTGTCATTAGAAAAAAAAAATGCACCACCTGCAAGTAGTGTGCTTTTGGCGTGCTAAATACAAGTCCTTCTCTCCTGGGACACTTAACAATATTTAGAAGCATAGATAATCAGAAGGGATCCAGTTCATCCTAACTGCCAATAGAAAAGCTCTCAAAAATTTCTTTTTTAGGTGAAAAATAATTTGAAGGTTCAAATATGCTGTTTGGGTTGATACAGGTGAGTAGGTTTGGGACAAAGAGCCACATGTTCTAAGCAAACTGGGAATGCAAAAC